CACCTGCTGCTGGAGTCCCGCTACGGGCCTCTCCTCTGACCCCTCACTCAGTAAACACCCTGTAGAGCTCAAGAGCTGGGAAAAGAGCTTTTCCCTGCTGACCTGGTTTGCTTCCTCTTAACCAGCAAATGAGCTCATTTTCTGCTTTCCTCTGGCTGCGGGGAAGCTCAGAGCAAAGTTCTGAGCTGCAGCTTCTCCACGCGGGTGTCACAGACTGAACGCTCCTCCTGCTTGGCTCTTCTCTTATTCCCATGGGTTTTGTTTAAAACATTTTTTAAAAATCCTCACCCAAGGAGATGTTTGATTTGTTTACTTATTTATTTTCAGAGAGAGAGGAAGGGAGAGAGAAAGAGAAATATCGGTGTGAGAGAGAAACATCATCGGATTGCCTCCTGCAGGCGCTCCAACTGGGGATCAAAGCCACAACCCAGGTATGTGCTCTGACCTGGGAGCGAACCTGCAACCTTTGGGTTTACAGGGAGATGCTCCAACCAACTGAGCTACCTGGGCTATAATTGTTTTTGAAGTGCGCTCTGACTGTGCAGGAATTGGGTGGAATCTGGGAGTGACTATCCCTGGGGCATGGGTCAGAGAGGATTTAGAGCTGGGGGCTGGGTCACCATCATGGGACAGACGCTTCCCTCCTGGGATGAGGTCTCTGTCTCCTGTCTTCCAGGCCTAGCTCCTTTCCAGGTGGTGAGCACAGGTGTGAAAATCAAATTGCATCATGCAACTCACCCTTAGTAATCTCTGCCTGGGGTGTTTTCTGTGGGCCTGAGTTGACCGTTTTGGGGGGTCACACTGAGAGCTGGGTCAGACATGGCTAAAGCATAACCTTTCACCTGACTATCCCAAGTCCCATGGGAAAGGTGCACAAAAGCTTGCCGAGAACTTCTACCCAGTTCACTATTTTTAATGGAGGTAGGAAGAGTCAAACTGGTTTTCATGGTCCTAGCCCAGTGGTTCTCAACCTTCCTAATGCCGTGACCCTTTAATACAGTTCCTCATGTTGTGGTGACCCAACCATAAAATTATTTTCATTGCTACTTCATAACTGTAATTTTGCTACTGTTATGAATCATAATGTAAATATCTGATATGCAGGATGTATTTTCATTGTTGCAAATTGAACATAATTAAAGCATAGTGATTAATCACAAAAACAATATATAATTGGAGATGTGTTTTTCCGATGGTCTTAAGCGACCCCTGTGAAAGGGTCCTTTGACCCCCAAAGGGATCGCGACCCACAGGTTGAGAACCGCTGCTCTAAAGTCTTACGCCCATTTTCCATACTTATCTCTTCCTGCCCCAGGAGCACACAGTTCCCAGACCACACTTTGAATTGCCTTGTTTGTTTGCTCAGTGGATAGAGTATCTACCTGAATACTAAAGATCTTGGCTTCAATTCTGGTCAAGGCTATGAAGCTCAGTTGCAGATATTATTAAATGAAATCTTAGTTTCCACCTTATGAAATGAAGGGAGTGGACCAAAAGCTCCTGACCTACTGACCACAGGCCTCTGAGGGCTGATTGTGGCAGATGCCAATGTCACATGATGCTAAGTGTTCAGGAGGAGATTCTACAGGCCTGGGGTTTGGCTGGATGGAACCAAAGAAGCCCACTCCCTGAGTTTAAACTACCTGCCTTTATTTGTAATAAGTGGAACTCCCCTCCCCATCATGGTTGAGACCCCACAGGTGGCTGTGGTCACAGGATGACAGCCATCTGCACACAGTGGGGTGACATGGGGTGGGCGGGTGG